CCTTGCTGAACATTTAGGGTGAGGGACAGTGTGTTCTGCAGGACTGAACCCCAACCCCATGTGCTCATCCCCACTCTTCATGCTGGGGCAGAGGTCCTGTGTTAGGTCCCCCCATTTTCAGTGTGTTTCCCTGGGTAGAAATTCACCTCTTTGCAGAGTTTATGTTTATCTCACCTTGAAAAATAAGTGTGTGATCTCTGCCATCTCCATTCCAAAATTCCTGAGGAATGCTCATCTACCTAAATTCTTGCTGTTTTTCCCTCTGTGCTGGTTGATCTAACAGGACTATTAGATATTACTGCCCCAAAAAACCCTCTTCACATAGACCTTTGACCACTAAATCTCAAAACCGTGTAAAATGCAGGAATTTGGGTGCATTTAAAACAGTCCTGGTGAGCACGGGGTGACCTCAGTGTGTGTTATTCCTGTAAGCACAGCTCCATGAAGCCACATTTCCCTGTTCTCCATCCTATCCAAGGCTGGAGCATTCCAGCCCTGACTCCTCCATCCCACCCAAGCCGTTCCCTGCTCCACGCTGCAACTCCCACCCGTGTCCCCGTGGTTTTTGGGGGTGCTGCTTCCCGAGTCAGAGGAGGACACGGGACAGGGACGAGACTCGGAGTCAGAAGCGCTGTGCCTGGGCACGCTCCCTGACAGATCGCGGCTGTGCCGAGGATGGGCTGAGTCACACTCCGGCTCTGCCTGCCGTGAGTAATGTGTTTGCTTCCGTGTCTGCTGAGCCTTCCACTCCCTTCGGCTTCTGCGGGACCCACCTGGGGAGATCCCCCGGGAATAAATGGTCCCGAGGGCTCCCTGGATGAGGCAGCGGCCGCTGCTCAGTATTGGGGTGCCCCCGGTGCTGGGAAGGAGGTTCCTTTGAAGGCTGTGAAATGTGCAGTCGTGTAATATATTCCTTTTGCTTCCAGGCATTGGGACGGGTTACTCAAGGAAATCATAAACATGGATTCTCCCACGACCACACCCCTCCCGGGTGGGGGTTTTGGAGCCTGGGGAGGGCGAGCCTGGGACAGGGGAGGTGACAGATCCCGCACTGTGGCTATAAATGGTGAGAAGGAAATAGCCCATCAACCCTCGGCGCTGATCCTGGTCCCAGTCCTGTGTCTGTCGCCCTCCTCCTCCTCCTCCTTCTCCTCCGTGCTGTGGGATCAAAAACCATGAATCACCTTTGGGATTTTCTAATTTTTTTGAAGTTCCTGTATCGCCTTCTTAATCACTCTTTCGCCCCCCACCCCCTCCTTTTTTTTCTCTGGTAATGCCACTGCAGACGTGCCCATGGACTTCCTTACATAGGCCCTGACGCCATCCCTGTCCCCACTTCCCATTTCCAATCACCCACTTGGCTGTGGTCTCCTCCGATGCCGCTGCGGCCGGAGCTCCCCTCTCCCGGAGGAAGGGAAGCGAGAGTGGAGTTTGAAAGAGTCAGAAACCTGCCCATAGCCCCATCCCAGGGTGTGGGGAGTGACCCCTCACCCCACCAAAAAAATCACTGAGAGAATTACAGAGTTACTTTCCTAAGGGAAAATCTACGTCTGATTGATTTTCTCGCTGGTTTAGTCCTGGGATGAATCCCTGGTGTAACAGGGATGTTCCCGGCAGCCAGGCTGGTTGGTTATCTCACTTTTTGAATCCCTTACTCTTGCATCAGTGACGTGGGCAGCTCTGGGTTGCACAAACTCCTTCCTCTGCCACTTCAAAAAGCTGCTGGTTTGGTCTTCCCATTTCCTTCTGTGTACTGGGGGGGCAGGAGGGAGGGAGCCTTTTATGGGAAATAAAAGAGGGGTGTGTTTTAGGCAGGGAGCATCCTCTGGTAAATGCTGCTCCATCCCAGAGTCCCAGGTGGCACTGGAGCTGCACCGACCCGAGGGATGCCCACTGTGCCACGGCTGGGGCGGTGCCCATTGCATCCCTCACATCCAGAGGGAGCAAACCCACACCTGCAGCTGGAGCAGAGCTGGAGCTCGGTAAAGAAATGATCCACAAGAGCCCAGCACCGCAGCTACCTCTGCAGTGAGGCTCTGAAGGCTGCTCCTTGCACCCAGGAGCAGAAATCATTCCCGGGTAGAAAAACCAGTGACAGCTTCCCTGTCCCAACTTGCCCCCTCCTCTCTCTGCCTGTTACAAACAGAAAGACAGGATGAATTTTGGAGCCTTTAAACCCATACTGCAGCTTCCCAGGATGGATTTTCTGTGGTGTGTAGCATGAATTTAAGGTGATTTCCCATTCCCCATCTTCCTTTCACCTTCCCTGTCCATCCCACTGTGCCTGTTTGGAGGCAAGCCACGGAGCTGAGCAGCCACTACTGATCCCAGTCCCAGCACTCTGACACAGCCAGCTCCACACAGTGGGGATGCACGAGTGATTGCAAAATCCTCCTGCAGCATTTGGCAGCCTCCAGTCAAACATGCCCAAACATATTTTCCAGCTGCTCTGGCCAGTGGGAAGCTGCTGGTCCAGCTGGAAAAAGCAGGAGTGGTCTGCACACCGAGGGTCCTCCTCAGCACCACAGCACCTGCTGCCTCCAGGGGCTTTCGAGGAGACCTGGAATTCCCAATGGATCGTTTTAACATGGCTTTTGTCACTTGGAATTGTGCTGTCACCTCCTTGTGCCCACGGGAGCAGGTTGTGTTTGTTTCCATGTGCCCGAGCCGTGAGGGGCTGCAGGACACGGCCCCCCTGTGCCCTGCTGGGCTGGCTCGAGGGGATCCCTTCCCTTCTCCTGCCACAGGGCAGGGATGGACATGGATGGGCAGGGATGGACATGGATGGGCAGGGATGGACATGGATGGGCAGGGATGGACCCTCGGACCAGGCTCAGGGACAGTGCCCTCCAGGCCTGCAGAGTAACCCCAGCAGAAGCTGCTCTGGCCTCACACATTTCCTGCCTGTGGACTTGGATGCATTTTCCAGCTAAGCCACAGATTCCCTCAAATCCTTGCCACAGGTTCCTGCAGGACATGCACAGACTTGTTCCTCCTCCTCCTCATCCCTGCCTGGACATCTGCAGGACTCAGAGCAGCAGATCCTACTCCAAACACTTTTTTCCACCCACAGCAGGTGCTGGGGTTCAGCTGGTGGAGCAGAGCCAGGCCAGGGGGAGACAATCCAGTTGGGGAGGCCGGGGGTGGCCCGGGATGGGTTGGGCAGTGCCTGGGGAGAATCATCACCTACGGTTCTCAGGTTGGCACCCTGAGGGGCTGAGCCACCCCTTCCTTAATCCATTAATCTCCTTCCTACAGCAGCCCTGTGGGTGGGACAGCCTGGCTAGGACTGAACCCCTGCATCTCCCAGCTGGAATGTGGCACCCCGGTATCCATGGCCGGGGGCTCCTTGAATCCTCCAACAAGGAGGTCCCTGCATCCCTCCTGGGGGGCGTCTCCCTGTCCCCTGAGCCCTCCAGGACGGGGGTCTCTGCATTTCCTCATTGGAGGGGTCCCTGTATTCCCTGCACTTCCCAGGAAGGACAGCCCTCTATCTCCTGCCTGAGCTTTCCCTCTGGTCCCTGCAGCCACCTGGGAAGGGGCTCCCCCAGTTCCCTGATGGGGGTTTCTCCACCTCCTGCTATAGGGGCGTCCCTGCACTCCCCAAGGAGGGGTCCCTGTATCCCTGACACAGGAAGGGTCCCGGTGCCCATGGTCCTGGCATGCCGGGTCTCCGCTGGCACCGCGCACATTCCCGGGACCGGGACGGGAGAGGAAGGGGTGTGAGGGGGATGGGGGCACACGGAGGAGCGGGGCGGCTGCCGTGAGGCCGGGGTGGGGCGGGGCGGGAGGGAAATCCCGAGCGACGCCGGGACCGGAGCCCGGCCCCGCCCCGCCCTCCGTTATAAAGGCGGAACGGGAGCGCCGGGCACCGACAGACGCGGGGAGACGGCGGTGAGTGCGGGCGGGGAGCGAGCCTGGCGGCTCCGGCCCTTCGCTGGCCGGGGAAGGAGGGAGGGCGAGCGCCGGTGTCCCCGGGGAAGTACCGGTGCCTGGAGCGGGGGAAACGCCGTAACGGGAGCGGCTCCGCCCGTGACCTCGTCCGCAGCGCTGAGAGAGAGCGGGGCTGTGCCCCGGTGCCGGTGCGGAGTCCCCGGGGGATGCGGAGCCCCGGGCTGGGTCGCGCTCGCCCCCCGGTGGCGGGGATGAGGTGCGGGGTGCGGTGCCCGATGGGGGGTTCGGGGTGCGGTTCGGGGTTCGGTGCCCGGTGCGGGGTTCGGGGTGCGGTTCGGGGTTCGGTGCCCGGTGCGGGGTTCGGGGTGCGGTGCCCGGTGCGGAGTTCAGGGTTCGGTACGGGTGCAGTCCCGGTCCCGTCGCCGAGCATCCCCGCGGCCACCCCCGGGCCCGTCCCCCCGGGCCCATCGCTGTCATGAGCCGGGCGTTCTCTGCGAGGGATCGGCTGCTCCCGGCCGGGAGCTCCAGGATTCGGGTGCCCCCCGCCCCCGCTGCTGGCCCAGCCTTCCCCAAACTGGTGTGACTGGTCCTGGGTGTCCCCCAGGGGTGCTCTCATCACCCAGCTCGGCTGGACGAGGTTTTGGTGTAGCCGTGCACCTGCCACTTCCTCGCCCAAATCTTGGGGTTCCCGGGCGGCTGCCGGGAGCCTCGAAGCTGCTGCTGGGCAGAGGTCGCTGGAAGCAGCAGCAGCCCCATGGGAGGTGACGATGACCGGGCCCGGTCCCTCCCTCCTGGGTGGCTTTGGCAATCTGCAGCCGTGACTCAGGGCGAGGGTGTTATCTCGAGGCTCCAGGGTGGCACCTGAGTCGCGCCGGTGACCTGAGGATGGGGACATCGTGACGCAGGCGGGAGGGCTGGGGGTGTCTGCTCACGGTGACTGAACGTGTCCCTCTCCCGCCACCTGCCCGGGCTTGCCTGGACATGCTGGGACTTGCCTGGCAGTGAGGTCACCTCTGTGTGCTCACACTGCCCGGAGATAGGAAGTTGGATTTCTATTTTTACTCAGGGATGCTGAGTCCGAGCACAGGGTGCCCACAGGGGTTGCCCCAGGGACTGGGCACTGCCAGCTGCCCACGGGCACACCGTGCTGGTGCCGGGCCTGCTAATAGGATCATTAACTCGTTAAGGTTGGAAAAGACCTCCAGGATCCTCAAAGAGTCCAGCCATTGACTAATCCTCACCTTGTCAGCTAGACCAGAGTTCTGAGTGCCACATCCAGTCATTTGTTGCACGCTTCCAGGGGTGGAATGTGGGGAAGCCAATGTGGCACGGGCAATCCAGAGGGGCTGCAGGTGCTGAATTTGGGGAGAAATCTTCCCTGCGGGAGGCTGACAACTCACTTCTTAGGGAAGTTTGGGGATGGGGAGGATCTTTTGTGGCCTGGCTTTGGGAGTCCCAGATTAGGTGGGAAATGGGAGCTATGAATCTTCCTTTTTACAGCTGATTTAATGAGTGTGGCTGTCCCAGTAGGGGCAAGCCTTAGCTCTGAAAACTCAAATCCCAGAGCAGAGCTGACTCTTATCAGCTGGATTGATGATCTTGGAGGTGTTTTCCAACCTTAACAATTCTGATTCTATGTTGAGGTTCCTCATAAGCATGGGTGTAGTGAGGGGTCCATTATACCCACATGAGGATAAGGACTGCTCAGATGGAAAGGCTTTGTCACTTACTGGGAAGGTCAAGGCTTTTGGCACCGATTTGAAAAAAAACAAACAAGGTCTTGTTTCTGATTACCCAAGAGCTCCTTGCAGATAAAGAGGGTGGTTTACAAAGTGGTCAAGCTTGTGGCATGTTCTTGCAGTTGCTTGAAGGTTTCCTTACCACTGGGTCTGGGTTCTTGTGAGATGAAGAAACTGGCTAGAAAAACATCCTGTTGCTTCACTTACCGTGTGCCAACTTGCCCTTGCCTGCATGGAAGTGGGAATGAGCAGGTTGGGCAGTGTCTGGGGACCAGGAGAGCATCATCCTGGTGTGGCTCTGAGGTTGGCACCTCGAGGGGTGTTATAGGCAGAGCCTGTGGCAGTGTTGAGGTGCTGGACGACCTGGCAGGGCTTTCCCTGCAGGAGGAGGAATAGGGAATGTTGACATCTGCACCTTCCCCACCCTCCTGTGTCGCACTGGGCTGGCTCTGACCTCAGCCAAGCTTCTGCTAAAACCTCCAGAGTCCAGATGTGTCAGTCCCCTCTGGGCTGCCCCACTGCAGACCCAGCCCAGCTTGTCCCACCTTGGCTACCGTGTGCTTTGTCCTGGTGGCCAGCACTGCCCTGTGTGTGCTCCTGTCATCCCAGCCCCTGTAACTCTCTCTGTTTCCCCCCCAGCCACCACGATGCCGCTGTCCCAGAGCAGGGCTGGGCAGGTCCCGTGCAGCAGCAAGGTGTGCAGGAACCTCTTTGGCCCCGTGGACCACGAGCAGCTCCAGCATGACTTTGAGAACCAGATAAGGCAACAGCTGGAAGAAGCTCAGCAACGCTGGAACTTCAACTTTGAGACAGAGACTCCCTTGGAAGGGCCTTTCAAGTGGGAGAGGATCCTGGAGGCTGAGCAGCCTCCCCAGGAAGTTCACAGCCTGGTCAGGGCTGTCACCAGCAGCGACAGCAGGAGCTCCTTGGCCCACAGGGTCCCCCCCAAGGACCGTGTTGGCAGGATTTGCCCCGAGGAGCCTGAGCAGAGCTCCAAGGCTTACAAGGCTGGTTCCCTGCAGAGCTTGAAACGTGGGCAGACCACGATCAAAGGTGAGTGCTGGGGCTTGGTGTCACTCCCTGGGGGCTTGGTGGCATTGATATCATGTCAGGGACAGACAGGGGGGACTTGGGTGCCAGAGCCCTGCCTGGCTCTTGGGCATGGGGAGGGGTCCCACCCTCTGTGGATCTCTCCTAGGGAAGCAGATCCCATATTCCAAAGGGAAAAAGGCCACGAGCTGGGTGCTGGGGTTTGTGCATGGGTCTGGCATTGGGCCTGTGGTTTTTGTAGCTGAAGATGCCCCCAAATTCATCATCTTCAGTTCCAATGGCCTGACTCAATCATAGAATCACAGAATATTAAGGGGTTGGAATGGACCTTAAAGATCACCTCCCACTAGACCAGCTTGCTCAAAGCCTTTCTCCAGCCTGGCTTTGAACACTTCCAGGGTTGGGACATCCCAGAACCTCCCTGGGCAACCTGTGCCAGCGTCTCACCCACAGAGAAAAATTTCTTCCTCCATGGTCAGGGCCTGGAGTGGAACTGCAGATGAGACAAACAGAAGAGATGGTGCAGACTTACAGCTCTGCTCTCCAGCAGCTTTGGGTGGGGGCTTTAGAGTGAAACCCACCTGGGCTGATTTTGGGGTGCCTCCCTGGGGACACCTCTCTCTTCCTGCCCTGCTGCTCCCAGCAGGCTGGAGACACTTTCCAACCCTTTCTTTCCTTCTTCCTTTCAGACTTCTACAGTGCCAAGAGAAGGATTGTCCCTGCCCGGCCCCGGCCGTGACTCGCTGGGGCAGCGAGTGTGGCTGCCCCCCCTGCTCTGCTCATCTGTACAAAGCAATGTAGAGTCTCTAGTTCCCTATTTATGAATAGCTCTGGGGTCCTGAGGGACCTTCACTGTGTGCAATGTAGAGGAGGAGCCCCGTGGTGAGGCTGGAGGTGAACTGAGATGGGCCTGGTGGGATTAAGGCACTGCCCTGCCTGCAGAGAAGTGCAGAAAAAAGTGCAGAAAAGTGTCCTCTGCCCTGTGCTTGTGGCTCCAAACACCGTCCTTGTGCCGTCCTGCTGTCCAGCCGTGGTCTGTCCCCTGCCTGGGGGCCGGCCCTGGGGGACACTTGTGTCCCAGCCACCTGGTGGCACGAGATCTCTTTAAGGAAAGTTCCTGGTGTGGATTGTAGAGCCCTGGGACACCCCGGCTGCTGGCACATGGGGGTGCCCTGTCCCAGCAGGCTGGACCCCAGCACTTGTCCGTGTGTGGGAGCAGAGAGATGTGGAGGCTGCTCCTTCCCACGGCTCTGGGCAGAGGAAGCTGTTCCCTGGACAGCCCCAGCCCTTCCTTGGGGTGTCTCACTGGGGGACCAGCACTGCCCCCCTTTGGGGTCCCCTGCACTCTGCTGGCCCCAAATCCCACTTTCTTACCTTGTTGTTGGCTTGTTAAGTGGTGCTGCTTGTGCCCATGTCCCTGCCTCCCTCAACACTGACACCAGGCTGGGGAGCCCCTGCTCTGGCTCTGTTGGGCTCCTCTAGGAAGTCCTGCTCACCAGCAGGGATGATGCTGAAATAAGGAATTGTAGCGTATTTTCCTGGACTTTTTCTCCTTTGGGGCTGGCAGGGAGAGGACCCTTACCTGGCTCTGCTCTGGGAGCATGGGATGGCCTGGAGCAGAGGCTGCTCAGTTCCAGCACTGAAGGATGAGTCCCTGAGGGACTCAACACTGTCAGGTATCGGCACTTTCATGGGGTTCATCTCCTGCTCTGCTGGATTTGGACTCTGGAAACTGGTGCAAGATGGTCCCAGGAAGAAAAGGGACAGGGTTGATCTCCCACCTTGCACCACGATGCACTTTGCTGTCCGTGAAGCTGGCAAGCAAGCACTAAATGTTTATTTATATTTAAAATAATGCTATTAAGTGTATGTGGGGAAAGGGGAAATACCTGTTTGTCTGTAAGTGTTAACTCTGAATAAACACCTCTACAAAGGAATTCTGGGTTAATGTGAGTGATTGGGAGCAGGGTTTTCCAGGGGAGTGCAGCCCTGAGCTGGGATCTGCCTTTGTGAGGGCTGAGAAGGATAAAGCCTTGCCACACCCTCTGTGCTTGGCCCCGTTCCCTGAGGACAGTGGTCTGGTGCTGCCACCATGTCCCCAGCAGGAGCTAGTGCCACCTGTGTGGGGTGTCCCTGTACGATGGGGGTTCTTTTGTTGCCCTCATCATTCTCCCTTCTCCACTGTGACCCTGTTCCCCCTAACCCTCAGCACCCTGTCCTGTGGTGGGTGTGGCCATTAGCCACGGGCAAGCTGCTCCCCTCTCTCACCCCTTTAAAGGGGTGCTGGGTGCCCAGGCCCAGGAGGGTGGCACAGCTGGTGGAAATGTGCAGTGGCATTTCCTGGGTGGGACTGAGATCCCCTGGGAGTCAGGGATGTCTCTACCCCTGGCTGCTTCCTTGGAGGACTGAGCAAGGCTTGGATGCAGGCTCAGGTTCTGCTTAATGTGAGACATGACCTGATTTGTGGAGGATGCAGAGGGCAGTGAACAGCCTCGTGTTATTGTTCAGCTGAGGATCCCTAAAGCATCTGCCTGTCCCTGGAGTGTGGGGTGACATCTGTGCAGGCCTGTGGCTCTTGACACACACACACTCAGCCTTGGAGCTGCTGCTGAGTCAAACCCTACAGATTTAGCCCCTGTAATCTTTCCCCTTACGTCAGTCCTTCCAAACCCCCCTGGCTGCTGCCAGGAGCTCCCCTCTGCTGTCACCTCCCATTTGCCAAGAGCAGTAGCAATGAAGGAAATGAGAAACAGAAATGAGAAATGAAAGCCCTTTGTCCATGTTTGTGGCTCTGGGGAGAGGGAGCTGGGCTTGAGTTGAGTCGCTGGGACATTCCAGGCCTGTGTCCCCCCAGCTTTTGGGACAAACCAGTGATGGGCTCCCAGCAGCTGGGAAATGGATGGAAACCTCCCACTTTCAGCCCAGCCTGGCCTCAGCACAGAGCAGGGATGCTGAGGGTCAAACTCCCACGGGGGGAGGCTCAGGTGTTTCCTTTCCCTTGTCCACATTCAACCCCCTTTCAATGACACCTTCCAGCATCTCATCGGGGTGGGATCATACCCCTCCTCCTGGGTCATTCTCTTCCTCCTGGATCATGTCCTCCCTTCTGGGCTGTGCCCTCCTGTGGCCACTGCTGGTCCCTGTGCACGATGCCAGAGTCTTGCTAGGCAGAGGGCACAAATCAAGCTCTCCGAGGGATATTTAGGATTTTCCCTTCAAAAGGGAAAATTTTCTCCTCAAATCCTTGGGGAAAACAAAGCCAAAATCCAACCCTCTCTGTGCAGCAGCAAATATTGCAGAGGGCTGCAGGGTGAGGGGAGAGCCCCCAGCCTGACTGAGGGGATGCTGCATTTTGGGGATGCTGCAGTTTGGGGATGCTGCAGTTTAGGGATGCTGCAGTTTGGGGTAACAGCACCAGCTTTGCCCAGAGTATGGAGAAGAACCAGCTGAGCTTCCAGTTGTCCCAGAAATGCCCTGAAGGACCTGAGCTGGCTGCGGCTTCGTTAGGTTAAACAGCAAATGAGCAGGGTGGGGCTGGTTCCCAGTGAGGGATTGCACCAGTTTAGATGGGCAGAGAGCTGAGCATCAGCTTCCACCCCACAGCTCCTGTCCTGGGAGCTTGGGCTCAGTCTGTTCGAGTCATGCCCTAGAGATAACAGTGTTTCCTCCTGCCTCAGTTCTCTTCATGTTTTGCAGTTAAAGAGCAGGAAAAATACCTGTGGTCCATCTGATCCCCTCGTGAAGCAGAGTGGCTGCAGCCCCGTGGGTTTGGTGCTGGGTTTAAAGCCAAGATTATAATTCAAGTAGGAGCCTTAAAAAACATCAGAGAACAGCACAGGGGGGACATCTTCAAATTCTGGGGCCCAAGAGCCTCCACAGGGGGAATTTTCAGGTTGTTCTGTCTTTCAGGGTGCTGTAATCCTGGAGTTATAGATAATCCCGTATTTTGGGTTGTTTGGAGTCTTAAAATAACATTTGCCGTTTGTCTGCTGTTCTTCCCTCCACTCCAAACACCCCCAGCCCTGGACCATTGCAAACCTGGAAAGGATGGGGACCTTTCTGCACTTCCCCATGGCATCAGCAGTGCCTGTGCACAGCAGCACTGGGATCTGGGCATTTTGGGGGCAGCGTGACCCTCCGGATGGGTCCTTCCCACACCTCACTTGCAAAGCAGCAAACAGGAAGTGTGTGAGCAGCAGCAGTTGTGTCAACCCAGAACGGAAAGTGCCTTGAGTAAGAGAGATGAGAGCGGGGCCACGGGGCGGCCTCGGGGTGGGACCAGCTCCCCCCTGACCTGGGCAGCCCCTCGGGCTCGTGTGCCCCAGCACGGAGCATCCCTCTGGCACGTGGGGAGGGTAAGTCCTGCTGCTCCGGGGATAGCTTGGCCATCACCTGAAGAAATAGAAAATGAGGGAAATAAGGGTGTTTTTTGCCGTTGGTGATCCAAGGGGGTTTTTCCTGCTGCCTGTGAGGGGCTGTGGCTGAGGGGCCTTTCTGAGGGCTGGGAGCAGTGCAGGGAGCTGTGGAGGGAGGAAGGACACTGGGAGCTGGGGATGCCATGGGGGACCCTGCTTGGCTGGGGGGGCACAATTCCCATCCCATCCCATCCCATCCCCCTGACTGTTCAGCACCTCCATCACGCCGTGGGCTCAGCTTACCTGCCCTGGGGCTGGGGCAGGTAACCAGGGCCTTCTCCATGCCCTAAACTACCTCCCTGCCCCCCGGAGCTCTCATTTCTGCTGTCTTAGAGGCTGGGACCACCACAAAGGTGTTTCTGGTCCTGTGGGACTCCAGCAACTCCACAAGACCCTCTTGCTTTAAGGGGCTGTTTTTGGGCCCTGTTCCCATTTCTGCTGTACACTGGGATTTGGCAGATCTGTCTCTCATGGCAAAAGGAAGAGGGCAGAGGGCTGGAGGAGCCGGCATCTCCCCAGGCTGGGAGGGGAGAGCTGGGCTCAGGCAGATCGAGCACAGCCCCGGGCTCTGCGTCACTGCTCCCCACGGCTGTGGTTTCCTTCCCTCGGAGTTTCAGCTTTGCCACACAAAGAACAGCCCCTCTTGGGGATGGCACGGTGGCTGTTGGTGACACAGCCACCCACCCAGGCTGGGGACAGGGCACTGGGGGTCCCCAGCTCAGGCCCCACAAGCCTGGGCGAGCAGCAGCGTGATGGAAACCTCCCCAGGGCTCTGCCCGGAGGTGACTCACGGCTGTGAAAGCTGGGGGAGGAATTTTAAAAGGTGCTGCTGAGCTGTGAGAAGGCAGGTGTGGGACAGCACGTCTTGCTCAGCCCTCCAGCATCACCTTGGCTGGTCCTTTGCTGGCGTCACCTCCTGGATGTGGCACTTCCTGGGTGGCCCTTGCTGGTGCCCTGGGCATCCTCCACAGCCAGGGAAGGGCATGAGGAGGTTTGGGATGGCTGCTTGGCTGGTGGCAGGAGGAGCTGTTCAGTGGGTGGGGGCTGGGCTGGGAGCCCCTGGGGTGGCCAGCAGGAGCCCTGGGGTGGCTGACAGGAGCCCTGGGGTGGCTGGCAGGAGCCCTGGGGTGGCCGACAGGAGCCCTGGGGTGGCCAGCAGGAGCCCTGGGGTGGCCGACAGGAGCCCTGGGGTGGTTGACAGGTGGCCCTGGGGTGGCTGACAGGAGCCCTGGGGTGGCTGACAGGTGGCCCTGGGGTGGCTGACAGGTGGCCCTGGGGTGGCCAGCAGGAGCCCTGGGGTGGCCAGCAGGAGCAGCCGTTGCTGCTGCGGATCCAGGCTCCATTCGTGCTGTGCAATCAGAGATAAGGGCTTCCCTTCCCTTCCTGTTGCCAAACCCTCCTCAGCAACTGGGGTTTGGGCCCTTGACAGCAGCAAAATGAATTTTCAGCTCGCTCTCTCTGTGCTGTGTCCCACCAGGCCAGACCAAAGGTGCCCAGTGAGGACAGGGCTGGTGAGGCTCAGCCCACGGTGTCTCCGCTGGCCAGGGCCATGTCCGAGCGCCGTGCGGCCACCAAGGGCCGGCGCTTGGGCTCCAGCCGGCGCAAGCAGCTGCAAGAGGGCTCCAGGGAGGCCCCGGGGCCAGAGCCCATCCCTGGTGAGGAGGAGCCACCATGGGCGTCTGAAATAATGCAGAGGGTGCAGCAGCTCCTCAGCGACAGGGACACCGAGCAGGCGGGAGTGGTCACCCGCTCGGACATGCAGGTGAGGATGGGGGTGTCCCCTGGGGTCCAGCACTGCTGGGGTGACCAGAGATGCTGTGACGGGGTGGGGTTTTACCCTGATTCGCTTTGGTTTTAGAAATTGCAGGAGGAGGGTTTGCCGTGCAGCAGGGAGGAGCTGGAGCTGGTGTTCGATGGGCTGGATGCCGCTGGCACCGGGAGTTTGGGCACAGAGGAGTTCACGGCCGGGCTCCGTAAGTGCAGCCCGGGCTGATCCTGGGCGGTCCCGGGGCTCTCCTGGGCGGTCCCGGGGCTCTCCTGGGCAGTGGGAAGTGCTGCCTTTGCTCTGTGGCACAGGATGGATCGTCCCCATGACCAGCTCTCAGCTCACCTGGCGCTGGGTCCTGTTGTGCTGAACTGCTTTGCTGAAGCTGTGGAGGGGGAAATGTTGGGGTTTGGGCTTTGCTGTTGCCCTGCCTGGGCACTGAGGATTTGGGATATTTGCCGGCAGGGCAGTTCCTGAGCTCCCAAAAAGCTGTCAGGGAGCACCGGCGGAGGAAGACGGCGTCCCGCAGGGTCCGGCTGGTCCTCCCCACCCCGGCGCTGGAAGGGGGGGACAGCGAGGAGCGCAGACACTTCGCTGCCTTTATGGAGCAGCTGGGCACAGGAAACCTCCTGGAAGAGTAAGTGCCCTGCTTGGCACCCATGGGTGTCCTGCAGGATGGATCGAGGGGGAAAGGCTTGGGGCAGGAGATCAGCACACGGGCAGGGAGGCCAGAAATGCCTTGCAGGTGCCTTTGGCCTGAGCAAAGGAGCAGGGTCACAGTGACGCCAGTGCTCACCTGTCCTCACACACCTCCAAAAGTGCGAGTTAAGTGGCTCAGCTGGCCCGACTTCGGGGGTTCTGGGGGGATGCTCACCCCAAAACACCGCCCTGCCTGCAGACAGGAGATCTGGCAGCTCTGGGTGAAGCTCCGGCAGGATGAGCCCCAGCTGCTGGACAACCTGGAGGATTTCCTGGCCAAGATGAGGCACCGCATCCAAGAAGCCAGGAGCGAGAAGGAGGCTTTGGAGCTGGCTCTGAACAAGTGAGTCTATCCCAGGATAGTGCACAGGGATGGCACAGGAGGGATGGGGACAGGGATGGGACCCTGGAGAGCCACTCCAGCCGTGCGGAGAAACCTGGGTGCTTTCAGCACACCCACCAGTGGCCGGAGCAGAGGATTTGCCAATGTTTGGGGTCGGGCTCCCTCTACAGTCATGGATGGGATGGCAAAAGGGCCGGACTCGGACTGCCGGACACATCCGTGCTGGGTGATACCCTCCGGGCAAACCCAGCTTGAGGCTCCCGAGGGCAGTGCGGGCTCCCAGGGTCCTGCACCCCTGTACCGGGGTCTCAGCCCCCTCCCCGGCCCTGCTGTCACCACAGACGTGTGGCCGAGCACGACAAGGACGTGCAGCAGCTCTGCGAGGTCCTGGAGCAGCAGATCCTGCAGGAGCGGCTGCGGCTGCAGCAGCAGGTGGGTCCCTGGGTCCTGTCCCCTCGCTGTTCCTGTCCCCTCGCTGCTCCTGTCCCCTCGCTGCTCCTGTCCCCTCCCTGGCCGTGCCGGGGGGACCCAGCACCCCAAACCCCTCCAGCTGCCGATGGATGAGTGGGTGCCAGTGTCCTTGTGCCACCCCAGAGGATGTCCCGGAGCCAGCAGCAGGGCGAGGAGCTGCAGCGAATGCTGGATGCCAGCGAGAGGGAGGTGCAGCGCTTGGTCACGGCGCAGATGGAGGTGGGCTGGCCCCAACCCCCCCTTTGTGTGTCAGGGGTCTCTGGGCTGTGCTGCAACCCCACGGTGCTGATCCCGAGGTGTCCCCACCAGCCCTTGCTGCAGGTTATCACACAGGACCCTCTACACCACATTCACCACCCCCATCCCCTCACTCCCCTCCATCCCCAGAAGACACAAATTGACTTTCCCACCCACCATCCTCTTGGGGAGGATGCAATTCAGCCCCGGGTCTAGAGGAGATGGTTATGAATTATTGTGGTGGGGATTTGGGCAGGCTGAGTGTCCTGGTTGTCATCCCACAGCTGGAGCAGCGCTGTCGCAGCCTCCACAGCTCCCAGCAAGTCACCAGCAGGGAGAACCAGCAGCTGGAGGAGAGCAACCGGGCCCTGGAGCATCGCCTGCAGCACCTGCACCAGCAGCTGCAGCAGACCCAGGGCCACCTGAGGACAATGAGGGCTACAGTGGTTTGGGAGCACATAGGGGAGCCCGGGTGAGTATCTGAGTGGCCGTGTGTCACTCATGTGTCCCCACACACATAATTTCCTCCTGGATGGGGAATGAGTTGGATGGGCCTCATGCATGCCATGGTGCAGGTTAATCTTGGTTTGGTGTGCAAGGCGTCAGAGGAAAAAGCAGGATTATCAGCACCGTGCACTGAATGTGTCCCTGGAGGGCAGTGCCAGGGAGATGGGGGTGTCCTTCACCCAGGAGGGCTCAACAGGACTGATCCAAGGATTGTGGGTTTTGCTGACCTGCTCTATCACTGCCACTATCAGTCTGTCCTGGTGCAGGGGTGGATTTGGTGAAGAGAATGGAGCTCCCATTTTGACCCTTTTGCTCTGTGTTTGCAGGGACAGAGTGGTGGCAGAGTTACCCATCGAGGTGCCAATGTCCCCACAGGTATTTCAGCTGGGCGCATGGGGACAGGGCAGGGGACGAGGGCCTTGTGCTGTTGTGTTTGGGACTGCTGAGGAGCTCAAGAGCACAGGGTGCTCCTGCAGCACTGCCTCCCCTAAAGGCTCTCTCAAACGGGGCTGGTGCAGATGTTTGAGAAGGGAGGGGCCTGCAGCACCTTACTTCTGGTACCCCTAAGATTCTGGGTGGGTACAGCTGGATACCTGCCAGAGAACTCCACATCATTTCAGGTGGATATTCTCCCTCACCAAGTGTTTTTCTCTCTCCTCTTCCCACCCTGTTTCCTGCAGCTGAGTCCTGGGAAGAGCGAGAAGTTCCGCTCCGAGATGCGGATCAGGCTGGGATCCCAGAGCAGCGAGAGCAAAGCCAAGAGTTCCCACCAAGTGTAAGGGGTGCTGCTGCTCCCCTGTGTGCCCTGGGGTCTGCGAGCTGGGGCTGAGCCCCAGGCCCTCCTTCCACCCTTCCCAGGCAAACAATGATATTTTGTCCTTTTAGCACTCCCACCCACTCATCTCTCACCCTGGAGCTCACATCTCTTATCCCAGCTCATCACTCCCTTGGCTCAGGAACTTGCTGTACCTGGTTGAGAGTTGTCTTTCCCTGTCTCATAATGTCAATATGGGTACTGGGAAGAGGCCAGGATGCAGCCCCGGGTCTGGCTGCCTGCATGTGCATCCCCCTTTCCCCTGCCCCCATTGCTGCCTGTGTGAACTCTAAGTGGACCCAGAGGGGAAATAAAATCAGGTTTGGAGAGAGATGGGGTGAGGCTGTAGATCAGAGACCCTCTGGGACTGACTGGGGATGGGAGGGAGCTAGAGCCTGACCTGGGAGCTGGTTCATTGCCCCCATTTTCTGTCCTTTCCAGGGTGTGGGAAATGCTGCCAGCAGAAATAAACGTTTCAGGAACCCCACGGAAAGCCAGCTCTGCAGAAGAGGACCCCTTCCCAGAATTTCTGAAAGAGGAAGGTGTCTCTGACGAAAGCTCTTTGCTAAGAGAGATGAATGATGCAATAGTAGCTCTGAGCAAACACCTCACGACACAGGCACTGGGTGCACCCCCTGCCCTGGCAGACACTCCCTGGGACAACGCTGAGCCCCAAACAGGGCCAGAGGCTGCCACAGCCCATGAAACAACCCCTGGGATCCTGCAGGAGACGCTCCCTGGCCAGAACCATCGTGAGCTGCTGGAAGGAGACGTGCAAGAGGGAGCAGCCACAGCTGAGCTTCGTGCTCTGGATGTGACACAGGCTGGTGCGTCCACAGGAGCCGGGCACTGCACGGCTCAGGAGCCAGGGGCAGAGCAGGGAGAGAGCCCAGACGAGGCACAGAGGATGTTATTCCTGCAAGGAAAGGGTGCTGGTGTGGAGGAGATGGTGCTAAATGTGGCTGAGCATCTGGGAGAGAGCATGGAGACAGCAGAGCAGGTGCTGACGGAGGTGGAGGGAGCAGGGTGGCTGCAGGAAAAAACAGCTTGGGCAAAACCACAGCTCTTGGGAGAAGCTGAGGAAGTGGAGATAAGCCAGAGAGAAAATGTGGAGGCAGGTCTGGAGCCACCTGAGGATGGGCAGGAAGGCGTAGCAGTGGGACAGTGCCTTGCCATGGATGAGCAGCAGGCAGGCAGGACGCCGGGGGAGTGTGTGCAGACCCCGGGCACGGCGCTGCAGGAACGGGCTGAGCCAGCAAAGGGGCTCCCTGGGAAACTGCAAAGCGAGCTGGGAGAGCACCTGGAGCCAGAGCCACCATCCTGGAGCCAGAGCCACCACCTGGAGCCACAGACACCACGCTGGGCTGAGGAACAAGGGGAAGCAGCCCATGGGGGTGGTGTCCCTGAGGTGACAGTGGCTCCTGGCCCAGGAGTGCTGGACGAGGAGCGTGCCAGGAGGGAGGTGCAGCCCCCGGGAGAGACCACGGACTCCAGAGTGCTGGAGGTTCTGCCAGCCCCAGCTGAGCGTGCAGGGAGCAGCAGAGCCGGGGGCGAGGAAGAGGAGGTGGAGGAAGCAGAGCCCAGGGAGGCAGAGCAGCAGCTGCAGGGTGAGTGTGCCAGGGGAGGCACAGGGTGGAGAGGGAGCGCGGGCACTCTGGAGCCACTGGCAGAGGCTGTGCCACCCACCCACGGCCAAGGAGGGGTGGGAACAGATGTGGAACTGATGGAGGCAAAGAACAGCACCAACATGGAGCTGCTGGCAGAGGAAGAGGCAGATCTGCAGGTCTGGAACGGGGCTGGAACCCCAGGGACACAGCAGGGAGGGGATGTGGATCCAGGTGTGCAACTGGAGAAGGATAAACCAGAGGTAGGGCTGGGAGAAGAAATGGAGGCTGCTGAAGTGCACAGTGAGGGTCCTTCCCCAGCAGAAACACCTGTGGGCAGCCCAGACTTGTGTGGGCTATTCCCAGTTAAACCTCAGGAACTGGAACTGGTGGAGACAGATCTGCAGCTGAGTGGGGGTCTCAGCCCAGAAACTCCCCAGGGAGGGAAGGGGAGTGTTCAGCTCCAAGAGAATGAGGAAGAGCATGGGGCACAAGGACAGGGTGAGCTCGGGCTGCCACACGAGCCACAGCCTCATCCTGGTGGAGTGACCCTGGATGAGGGAGAAGA